TCATAGAACTTATAACATACCAATCGTAATTTCAGATTATTTATTTATTTCTTATTATACTCTAATATAGATTCTATGCGAGTCTCAAGGAATCGAGACCTAAGCGATTGTGATTACTGTATGAATATTGTATAAATATTGGCTATAACATCGGACAAGTGACAGTGTAAATCTGCGAGTGCCTTTACATACACAAATAAATAATTCATAATAGTAAAAGTAAATACTAATCTAACATAATATATGCGCGCATGAGTAACTCGAAATCAGACATGAGGATGTCGGTCGAAGTCCAAGGTCAAATCTGTGCAATTTGTTGATCTGTCTTATAACCATCCTAAGTGTTTCAATTTTAGACCCTAAGCGAGACTAAATCTTATATAAATAAAATGATGGAGGTTTGCAGTTATGCGCGCATCACGGAAAAACTATTGGATAGATTTCAATTTGGTATTCTGAGTTTTATTTCTTAAACACTTGGCCATTATCTTTAAAAAAAAAAAACATTGCGATATCATCATTTAATATAGTTGTTAAAGTTTTAAGAAACAGCCATTTTTTATAAGCCGTACGTGTTCAGTGAAGTCGCGGGTATCAGCTAGTTACGTTATATTAAACTAACGTAGGTAACCGAAATCTTATCAATACGATCGATTATTTTAGCTTTGAACGTTAGCGTGCCTCAATTGCCTGTGTAGCGGCGGCGTTAAAGAATCCACTACCTTATATTTATTTATTTACACTTTATTGTACACTATAATAAAAGAATTACAAAGAGTGAACTTAATGCATTTTGGCATTCTTTACCAATCAACCCGGATTTACCATATTTTACCGTGTAGTGGCGGTGTAAGTATTTCCACTACCCCATACCGTCTCGTGGTTGTCGTAAGAGGCTACAGAGGGAAATCAAACAAGACTACCCGACTCTCAAACGTAGCATTTATGGCAAATATCCCTCCTATGAGGAAGGCATATGTTCAGATTTCTAATAGATTGTAATGAAAAAAATTAACGATGAAATACTTAGTAGTGAAAGTTTCTGATCACTTAGTAAAGCAGGTTCAGTTTCTGCATTCAAATCTCACATGACAACATACAAATCATTCGCGTCTCATGACTACGTTACACGGTGTCCAACTGAACTAGGCTTGGGTAAAAAATATCGATATATCGATATTTTCTCATAAAAAATATATATCGTCGATATTTTAAGGGCGATATATCGACATTCGATATTTATTTTAGAGGATCGAATTCGTATCAATTTGGATATATTTTAAAATGTATTAATCGACAAAACATTAAGCAACAAAAGCAGTTACAAAAGTATTCGCGTGCTATTGTCATTTTTTTCGCCGTCCAGCCGTCCAGTAATAACATTTCGTGCCTAATCCTACTGCATCATGCAAAACATGAGGATATATCGATACTGTTTAAAAATATCGATACTATATATATATATATCGATTTTTTTTACGTTCCTATCCCTAAACTGAATTATACCAAATCATAAAAGTTTATTTCTTACACTGACAACTTAAATATTTGCACATGATATTAAAAGGTATTTTTATTAGCTGTTTTATAATTAATATGTAATATTTATTTTACTACCACAAAAGAGTTATGTCAATAAAAGGCTAGAATTACTTTATTAGTAAGTGAATTGTGTAATAAATTTAATTAATTTATTTTAATTTTGATCTAATTATTTGTTGTAATTTATTATAATTGATTAATATAATTTTGGAAATAGGCCAAAATGCAGGTACTGCCGTTTTTATAATATTCTCTGTTAAAATAATCTACATGCCTTATAAAAGTGAGAAACAGGTTTAGGTCTTATTTAAAAGCGTACTACTTCTGGCAATTTATCACTATCATCATAATCATCATCATCATCGGCAGTGGCAGTCCACTGCTGGACATTTCTCATTATATTTGTACAAAAATATACTTTCAGAATAATGTATACATCTTTTATGGTAATTAAATCCGAGACTACCTCCGATCTCCGATATTAATGCGTAAAGCCTAATATCGCAAACAAATTGGTAAAACTATTCAGTGCCTCTGTATACACACATATTTTGATGCACTGTAAGTTTCACGAGCCTCTCCCGCTGTCAGCAGGATTTGCAAATCGTCACTCTCGGTAGGCGGCCCGGTGTCTCACACAACTGACTTTCTTCTTCACCGTCCGGTAAGAGTCTACTGTTAAATATGGACTATATTCCCTTCTGTTGAAGGGAGGATTTGCTTTAATTGCCATCCTTGGCAAACGGATTAACGATCGCATTACTTGAAGTCTCGCACCTGTGACGCGCTTCTCCTTGTCACCGGTTTGGATATTTTACGTCTGCCGTTAAACGGAATAGTTATACCGCCATCTGTCGGAAACCATTAAACCGTAAGGCATCTCTTACGCCACCTATTGAACGAAATGCGGTGTATTATTTTACGTCATCACAGTACGGCGTTGTACTTACTTATGTTTTTTTTACGTGTCATAATATTAATAATTTATTTATTTCTCAACACAAACAATATGGAGATAGGATACATTAGTGTTACATCTCTATTTAATAATATTATGTCATTCGTGGGAGACTGGTGCCTATGTAGGTTTAAGGACCCGTATTACAGGTCACCAGTCATGAAAATAAGTACTGTAATAACGAGTTGAATGTAAATTCAAGAAAAACAACTTCCTTCTGCGTGAATCCCATATCTCTGGTGCCCTTTGACCTACAGAACCCAAATTCAAACTCGACCGAGCTACTACCTCAAGATATCCACATACCAAATTTAAAGTCAATCGGTCCAGTGGAACAGAAGTTATCGTGTCGGCATACAGACTAACAGACTGCCAGCTAAAACCATTAACTTCCTTTCAATGTTACGCAGAAGGAAGTTAATAACACCGTACTTACAAATAATAATAAATAATTGCTGAAATTTGAGGAAGTCACTCTACTAAGAAGAGGTATTCCATTATGTCAAGCAGTGTACTGTCGTATACCACTTTTGACTTTCAATAAAAAAATTTTTTTTACTCAGCACATTCCCTCCACACTAATATATTATGTGATTAATAGCTCCGAAGTCTACTTTGTCCAAAATAATGTATAAAATATTTCGGCTGTTTAATTATTAAGCAAGCGCGAATTCGTCACGGGAATTACTCTATAAAAAATTATTGAAATGAACTTAATTTTGTGCTAGTTACAGTTGCCAACCGTTCTTTATTATAAATAACTACAATACATATATATATTTAAGTGGCGTATTTTTAAAAGTGGAACGAAGCGTATTACGAAAGTGAACATTAAATATGAAAAAAGTTATATTGTATTTGATACACCATAAAAGTATATCTGTACAAACCTACTTTTATGTTATGTATTATTTTTTTATCTCTCATTTAATCAGTATCTCTCAAAACAGGTGGCGAATCCTTTACACGAAATGTTACTGTAGCAGAACGTTAAAAATGTGCAATTAGTATATAATTTTAAATGTAAACAGTGTTTAAATTTTATTGATATGCTGGGCACAGGGCAAATGAAGCGTTTAACAAAAAAAAATAGCTATTATTTAAATTTAATAACTCGGATGTAAGTTAACCTACTGATGGCAATTTTGAGCGTACGTACAACATAACTATAAAAATTAATTTTTATATGACAATTTTATATCGTGTACCTAATATTGGTTTATTTTTCGTTATTTTTATATAATTAATACATATATACATTAATAAAGCTGATAAAGATTATGTGACAAAATAATACTAGGGTTAATTACAAGTAGAATCTATTTTTAATGTTAAACTAATAGAAAGGTATGACAAAATGATGTTTCGAGAAGTATGCAACCCACAAAGCAAGAATACAACACAAGCGCGTTTTATTATGAAGCATTTATTATTAGTATAGAGCGAGACGCAACATAGACGCCTCCGTATTGATTTCGCGACGTAAGAGGGAGAAAAAAGATATTGGCGTCAAGCGCCGGGGATTGCTACGTAGATAAAGCAACAAGGTCATTTCACCAAGAGCCACCCGCGACCTGCGTTCGCTTCAACTTTTGGCTATACAGCGACTTATGAACAAAGGAAAGAGTTATCACAGTTATATTTACTGTTTCGCATAAATATACCTATTGATTTTGAATATAACGTAATAATGAAAAATAGATGTAGATTAATGCGCTGTTTAAAAACTAGCCATTCCGCATGCGTATATTGATTACGACATTAACTCCCGATCAAAACTTAAGAAAGGACTCCCAAGTGATTACTAGTTGTCAATGACAAATACATAAGGCACAAACGGCCTACTATCATAAAGGTCTTAATTTTACTGTAATTGCGTAGTTGAAACAACTTTTATATAACTGAACTTGTCTATTTGAGAAGTGACTTAAAACTTGCTTGATTTTTCGATTTAATTTAAGTAAATTAGATTTTTAGTACTTGTAAGTATACAAAAAATTGATTATCTGATTTAAAAATGATGACGTCATTATACACTACAATTTATATACATACATATACATATATAACTATACTACAAATTTTATAGAAATGTTTGCTTTACTAATCTTACAATTAATTGATGCGATATACTACATTCAAACACCATAAATATAAAATTTGTTACAATATGCAGAAAATGTGATGGTGTTTTAATGAATATGTAGCAAAATAGCATGGTAATAAGCACCATCAGGAGAATAAAGAACACATGTCAGATCAATGATCTACATGTGTTCTTTATCTCTGACTAATGGTGGCAATTATTTTCTCTCTGCCAGTAGGTGTGACTGTATTTAAGAAACTGTTTCAAAATCCCACTGTATATATTGTACATTAAATTTAATATGGTATGGATTATGCAACAGCTAGTTATGTTTTATAACCCAAAAAGGTTTTTGCTAAGCTGATAGCAGAAATTCTACAATTCAGTTGCTACATAAATAATTTAATACCTTACCCCATTAAGGTCCATCATCCGCTCCAAAGCATATTTGAGCAACTCACACAGCAAACCCAAAGATATCTTTTTCATTGCAGGAGATCTGAAAAGAAAATAATAGTGAATGTAGTTTGGCGAAAAAAAGTTGTCCAACACTGTTAATTATTTACATTTTCAAAACTATAATTAATAATTAATCAATAGTTGATATAAGATGAAATAGGAACAACTAACATAATATTCTGTTGTTTATAAAAAAAACAAATGGAAAAAACTGTAAAATAATAGTTGTGAGCATAATAACTCTCAACAAATAAATACTGTAATTAAACCATATAATATGGAAATTTTCATGTATGAACATTATCACAACATGAATTGTGATCCTTTTAAATAATTTAAAAAAAGAAGGATATTCTGAATTCTCCTGTACATTACTTCCTTGTTCAGTTCATAAACCAATATTAATGATTATTAATAATGATTTATTATATATTATTAATGATTTATTATATAGTTTATTATGAGTTCAGGGCTGGTCCCATATAAATATAAAGAAAAATTCCATTTTTAACTTTGATGAAATAGGTCATGAAGATTTCAATATAACTATTCTGACCACATTCTAGATGTTACCTTGAACTTGGTCCACTCAAAAGGGTAGAAACACTAAAATTTAAACTTCAAAAACGAAAAGGAATAAAATAATTTTTGCATAATAGTTTCTGAAGTTCGGCCTTAAATGTGGTATGTCTTACCACCGACATCAAAAGCTGTTGTATGGAAATTATTGTATACTTTATTTATAGGATAAGGGTGACAAACAAGCACACAGTACACATTGTTGCGGCCCATAAACATCTTATATCTATCTTCGATTACAAATCAAAATGCAGATGCATTATCACCCATGAGGTGATACGAGTTGGGTGTTAGGTGCGAACACAGCAGCCTTAAGCTGCTATTTTACGCTGGTATTCTGTGAGAGTGTGGTACTCCCCCGGTCGAGTCGACCCATTTGTGCTACAACTATACTACTAATATAGCTGCAGCATGGCTCAATGACATAAAAGTACTATCTTAAAACTTCAATTCCTAATTCAAAAAATCTTTATAAATATGAATTTTGGATAAATGAATAAATGGCTTGAATAAATGTAAATTATACAAAATATGTTACATGCTCAGTTGTTTGGAGTTGCAGAAACCAGCCCGTGACATAGTTTGCCACGAGCTGGTGGAACTGGAACTATAAAAATAAGTAAATCTATTAAATTTCCATGGTGTTACACAAATCAGTAATAAGATTTTTTGTATAAGTAAAAATAGAGTACTATAACTTACCTAGTTTCTGAGCTTTCAGCATGCAATACTGACAGGCATTCTGGGCAAACCCAATTTTTATCTGAGGCTATCTTATTACGCTCTGTTCCAGACAGGCATTTGTAGTGAAATGACCGAGGACAAACTGTGCAATGCATAGGGTTATGTGTTTTTTCAAATGTAGCTTGCTCCACTGCCCAGTGACATCTCCAGCAATATGGGTCAGAACGAAGTTTGTTAGTTTTTTCCACAGCCTATGATAATGAAAATACATTATGTCAATACTTACTAAACTACATTTTTAATACATTTAAATATTATTCTTTAAATTATAGTATACTAGCTGACCAGGCAGACATTGTTCTGCCCTTTTCGACGAACCTTCATATAAAAAATCCTTAAATTCGTAATAAAAAAATATTGAGCGTCACTTATCAGGATAAAAACTACCCTATCTCTCAAATTGGACCAAACTGCACAGAGTGTGCAAAATTTCATTGAAATCAGTTCAGTAGTTTAAGAGTTTATCGTGGACAAACAATGTGACACATAATTTTTATATATAAAGATTACGGGCTTAACAAATTCATTGATAAATAAAAATATAAAGTTATATAATATAAACTTAATAAATATAATATAAAAAATAAAATAATAAATATAAACTTTTTCTTTATGTGGTCGTTTGGTAAAATTTACCAACGACATAATGAAATTAATTTTATTTAATTTTTTGACAATTTAAACCTGATTTTGAGTGTAGATATAGAAGAATACTAGAGTCTAATTTAAACTAAAAATTTAGGTTAGAAACTAATACATACTCTGTCTTCTGATATTTTTTTCCTCTTTGTGGTACTGGTTGAGTCATTGTGACTGTCTTTGCTTTTAGTCTCTTCCGTATCCTCGTCTGAAACAGCACTCTCAGACTCAGGTTTATGATTTTTGCCTGTCACAGAATTTAAAAATTGTTTAACCTTATTAACAAATTCCGGGTTCTGTGACCGCATTGACCGTTTAATTACTGTTTTGTCAGATTTTTCACTGCAATTACTTTTTTGTGAGTTTACACTATTTCGTCTGTTGCCTTGTATTTTATCGGCCTCAACCAAAGAAGTCAAACTAGAATTTGCATTTTCAAATGCTGTTCTAGATTTCCTTGTTTTGCTTGTTAGTTGTGTACATTCACTTATTATCTTGGATTCTTTAGCGGATTTGATGAGAGACTTCAATTCCCTACTAATACTTTTGTTGTGATCTTTTTCTGAGATATCAGAGTTTGTTTCTATTTGGGAATCATTGGATACATCCTTTTCTGTATTATCTGGAGAAACTCTGCTTTCATCCATCTTGTTTTCAGTCTCATTATCTTTTAACTTACCCGTTTGATCGTTGTTAGTATTCGTACATGATAAACCATTAGTTGATTTATCAACTTCAATTATAGGTGACTCGGACTGCTGTTTTTGCAGTGAAACATCTTTAGATGCATTTTCATTGTCAGTATTAGAGTCACTATTCTTTAACTGGATGTGTTTTAAAGAATTTTCTTTATCTTTATATGGGATATTTTGCATTTCTTTAGAGGAAGAATCTGCAATTACTTCTGAGGATTGCAACTGACAGGAAGATGACGTTATTTCTAAAGGGGAAACCTTGGGTGAAGATGAAGGTAATATATCTTTCTTGGGTGGGGTTTCATTCAGATTTATGGGAGTGTTTTCCAATTTGGGCAACACTGTCTCAATTTGGTTATCTTTTAGCGGAGACTTTGTAACTTGCATAGATGTCATCTCCTTTTGTGAAGTACCATCATCGAATTGGGCTGACTGAATGCTTGTAGGTGGTTTATCACATTCTAAATTTGTTGACATCTGCAGATTAGATAGTGTATCATCTACTTCCATTTTTTCCACCACAATAACCATTTCCACATTACCACTTGATCCAGGTACTTCCTGCATTTCTGGCACATCTGCTGTGGTAGATGACACATCCGTCTCCATCTGAGCCTCTGAATTGTCCTCCATCATCTGTGGCAAATACACAATTGCTTGGTATTTTTAACTTGACCTTTATATATGAATGAAATTAGTATTTACAACATAAACGTAACTGATATAGGCATCCCAACAATAAGTGTATAAATAACATGAGAACCGGTCATTACTCAAGCACTGCCATCCAGCCAGTTATCTACCTACTTTCAATACAATCATACAAAATACATACAGGGGCTTACCAGACGTCCTGTGTCGCTACTACTTTATTGAACGGTAAATATACAAAACACTAAGATTGTTTTTACTTTAAAATACAAACTATTTATATTAGTCCATTTATGTCAGACAGATTGCAAATAGTAAAGCTAAAAAATAAGAAATCGTACGATATAACGATAGAATTAACACATTGCCAAAGCATAACTGCACACAACTGTATATATTATGTATGTGTGCTATGTCGTACTTCATACCTACTATTAGATCGTTCCTCTTTAGTTGATTTGATTGGTTAAGGAGATTTGATGATGGTGCTCTTTCACTCATCACATCTCTCTTTATCATTTGTATGCATCTCTTTCTGGAACAGAAAAACTATCAAAATTACTCTGTTGATTCGGATTAAAGTCAGTAAGTACATTCGATAGTCTATCTCTTTCTAATATAAATTGTGAACGCAAAGGTCATGAAACCGACACCGTGAAGTATTCGAAAGAACTTCACTTCACTTATCCATAGATAAATAAATATGTACGTGCAAAGCATAGACAAAGCCGTAATGTTTTAAAACAGTACAGCCTAGTCTGATTTGTATTTTGTTTAAGCTCTTCGCAATGTGCTGCTGCATCACATTGAAAAGTTTTTGGTAAATTTTCATTCCCAAGGGCTGCGCAATGTGACGCATCTGCATATTGTGAAAAAGTGTACTTTAAAGGAATCACCTTGATCCTTGATACTGAGATAAGTAAAGACATGGCTTACGCATTTAGAGTATTCAACTAACAGGAGACGACATTGGAGAGCGTTCCCCGCTGTTAAAAGTACGAGAGCGCGGATCATTGCCGTTATATAAAACTAGTTGCGCCGCGTACGGCGTCAGTTACCAAGTATTCGTAAGCGTGAGTTGACCTCCAGAAAAATGCCGTGTTGCAGTGTGTTTTCTTGAAAAAAAAGATCGGAGACTTCAAATTTACAAAAGGACGGCGTAACCTTTCACATTTAAGTATATATTTTGAATTCAATAATTAATATAAGCAATAAGTCACGAAAATTCTGATTTATATTGCTATGCATGTAGTGTTGCCAACTTAAAGTATTAATACAATAGTAAGGACTTTTGCACCACTAGGACATAATTAAATTTTGCTTAATTGTAGACAAACGTCGTTTCTCATTGTTCTAATTACACAAGACAATATCGTGTTATTGAATAGTCTTAAATTCATCAATATTATTGTGATCTATTTGCCAAACTATATTATTTCAAACAGCATTAATAATCTTTGATTGTTTTTAACGAAATGAAAACATCAATTTAAATGGTTTCATTGTAAATAAAACAATTTAAATCGATATTTTCATTTCGTTATGTTACGTTATGAAAAGAAAAGAAGGGGAATTTAGAGTAAATAAAATGGTATCATCAAGACAAGTAGTAAAAGAAGAGATGCATGGTGGAATGATGAAGTGAAAGAAGCTGTAAAGAAGAAGAAGAAAGCATGGTTAGACTACTTGGCCTCTAGTAATGATAAGGATATGAGAGAGAAGATGAAAGAAAGATATAAGCTGCAGAAAGTTCACACGAAAGCATTGATTGAGGAAGTGCGTGAAAGGTGTAGAATGGAAGCGGATGAAAGGTTGTCGCACAACTTTAAGGAGAACTCCAAACTCTTCTGGAAAGAGGTTGGAAGGACCCGAAGTGGTGCAACGGCCTTAAGAATGAACAAAGTGCTTTCGAGAACTAATGACGTCCTCTCAGAAAAATCGGACGTCATGCAGCGATGGAGCGAATTTTATAGAGAAATGTATGCGTGTGATGATCTTAGTGAGGGATCCGGGGATGACGCCGTGACTAGCACGCCAGACCCGGACCTCGATGACACTGAGGTCATCAGTATGAAAGAGATTGAACGTGCGATTCGAAGTTTGAAATGTGGTAAGGCTGCGGGACTAGACAGAGTTACTGCTGAAATGGTCAAGTATGGTGGGCCTCGCGTCTGGGACAGCTTTCATCTGCTGTGCAATTTGTGCTGGCGGACGGGGGATGTCCCGGATGATTGGCGATCCGCAGTCATTGTGCCTTTATATAAAGGTAAAGGTTCACATTTTGACTGCGGGTGCTATCGGGCGATCAGCTTGACCAGTTTAGCAAGTAAAGTTTACTCGAAGGTTTTGACACGTAGGATGCAAGAGAAATCGGAAAGATTTCTATGGGAGGCACAATGCGGATTTAGACCTGGAAGAGGATGCACGGATCAAATGTTTTCTCTCCGTATGATCACGGAAAAGCTTCTGGCTGTTAACCAGAAGATTTTCTGTGCTTTTGTGGATCTTGAGAAAGCATTTGATAAGGTTGTAAGGAAGAAAATGTGGGAACTGTTGCCGGGGTATGGTGTGGATGGCCGATTGCTAAGGGCTGTGCAGTCTCTTTACTGTGACTGTAAAGCCTGTGTGCGGGTAGGGCATGACCTGTCACCCATGTTTAGCGTCCAAACGGGCGTAAAACAGGGTTGTGTCATGTCTTCCTGGCTGTTCATACTGTATCTCGACAGCTGTTTACAAAAGCTGAAAGATAGCTGTTTGGGTGTGAAATTGGGTGACATAAAAGTAAATTGTCTGCTGTATGCTGATGATGCAGTGCTTATTGCACCATCAGAGGCAGAACTGCAGGCATTAGTCACGTGTATGAAAGAGGAATGTGAAATTAAAGGTCTCCGTTTGAATGCTAATAAAACTAAGGTTCTGGTATTTGAAAGGGACGAAGAGAGAACGAAGTGTGAAATATGGGTAAATCAGGAATGTCTAGAACAGGTAAATGAAATTGTATACTTGGGGAGTGCTTTTAGCCGGGATGGAAGATGTGATTTAGATGTGGACAGGCGTGTCGCTGCCGGGAACAAAGTCAATGGTGCCCTGACTGCGTTAGTCAAAAGGCAAGGCGTAGCGAAGAGTGCACGCCTTGCAATACATAACGCAGTGTTGGTACCGACTTTGTTATATGGCAGCGAAACCTGGGTATGCCAGAAGAAGCATAAAAGTAAGTTGAATGCAGTGGAGATGCGATCTCTTCGTAAAATTTGCGGCGTTACCATGGCCGACCGAAAGCGAAACGAAGAGATGCGCAATATGGCAGGTTTGAAAGATGACCTTATCACAAAAATTGATAAGGGCGTGCTTCGGTGGTTTGGGCACGTTGAGCGAATGAGTGAAGACCGAATGGTGAAGAAAATATATAGCGCGAAAGTTAATATTAAAAGGTGTCGAGGTAGACCGAGACTAACTTTCGAAGACCATGTGAGCAAATTGCTCGAAGAGGGTAGGGTCAAGAGTACTCGGATACCTAGACGTGCATGTATGAAGAAGATAATGAATCTGAAAGAAGCGAAAGAGATATGTAAGGATCGTGACACTTGGCGATCTGTTCTCTCTGGCTACCCCGTCAGGGATTGTGCGTGAAGATAAATAAAAAATATAAATAAAATAAAATCAAGACAATAATAGTGATGTACACTGTAATCTTTACTGTCGATGTTTTTATTTGGCTATATATAATTTTAAATAACACCTTGATCATATACCAAGGTGTTATTTAAAATTCTTTTTTGCACAATGTTTAAAAAAGATCTTCGGTTAGACAGTTTTCCAAAAGATCCTTACAGGCACCAAGTTTGGATAAAGCATGTGGCAATCATATAACCTCGGTACCTAAACGAACAAGCACTATTTTTTCCGAGTATTTTGACCAATAGGTTTTCGTACTGTAATGAAATAATAAAAATAAACTAAATGAAACTGCTGTACTGACTATGAAATTATTGGAAGTAAGTTCATGATTTTGCTACTGGTTTATTTTACATTATGAAGGGTAAAATTTAAAACATGTGAAAAATCGTTTAGTGAACGATATTTATTCATTTTAAAATGTTATTTACAAGTAATTTATCGTCTTAGATGGTGTCAACTAAGGTGATGTTTTCAGATGGGACACGAATTATTAGCGCTTAAATAAATAAATAAGGATAAACAAATAATCTGTGTTAACCAAGTTTTTGTTTTCAGGTGACACGAGTTATCAGCGCATAAAATTAAAGTAGGAATTTACTCATCGACTTTATCTTTAATAACATTGAAATTATTTATTCGTTCTTTTTTATATTTATAATAACATTGCAAAATTAATATATAATTTATTTTATAGTTTCAAAGCATAAGAAATATTGTAAATCTTGTCTAATCTATGAGAAAGTTTAACCGTATAAAGCACTTGAGTGTTCCTTGTTTGAGTTTTTAAACCCTTTTTGTAACTCCCATTTGTTAAAGTTTTTATTTATATGCCTTTTTTACATTTTAGAATAAAACAAGCACGTTTGTTAATCTTGAAGAACAAAGTATTAAAAAACAAAAAGTTGATGAGCAATAGCTTGTGGCATCAAAACTACCTCAGACTATAGCGAATGATAATTAATAGAATCAGGCGTCACTTTGCGGAAATCCATTATATAAAAGCTTTTAGAAAAATTCACTTCGCAAATATCCGCGTTATAAAATAAAATGATGTGTCTTACCTAGTATGAAGAGCACCTCCCGCCCTCTGGGATTAATGGTGACGGGGATAGTGCACGCAATTGAGGGAGGTCGGGAGGTGCTCTTTATACTAGGTAAGACACATCATTTTATTTTATAACGCGGATATTTGCGAAGTAAATTTTTCTAAAAGCTTTTATATAGCGAATGACTTAAAACTGGCTGCATATTCTTAAGAACGCGATCGGAAGCAATAGCGGGCTTTGTTGTTTTTACTATAATAA